GGAAATAATCAAAAACATCTTCCGTTGCGGGGAATCGAACCCCGGCCTTATGGGTGAGAGCCATAAATCCTAACCACTAGACCACAACGGACACGAAGTAACGTGTTCTCATTGAACCTATATATCTTATGTTTCATAATACACTAAAAGATGTTTTTTTAGAAACTATATTTTATATCGAGTATTTTGAAATCAAGGTTTATTCGCGTAAAAGACAAGTATCTGTCACTTGTTTGATTTTACATATACAATTTCACTATTATCACGTTATGCACAGACGCTTGCTCGACAATCTTTTCAAGAACCCTGAGTTCGATGACATTGGATTGTGTTGGGTAGTATGGCTCTACTGCATCAAGTAGTAAATATATGATAAATGGGATTTTAAACGTTCCACGTTCGAAAAGGCAAGAAATAACCTGCGTTCATGACAAGGTACGTTTGGATAATTAATTCAATATAACTTGTAGTAAGGTAGTTGTTATGCACTGATGTATGAATACTGTGGTGTGGTCATTGAAATATTTACTATATGTAATAACTTTTGCTGTATAGAAGGATTTCCGAGTTTCAGCTGTGACAGAAGATCCCTACGGATAGTTTGTGAATGTTTTGAGTCTGGTGAAGAAGACCACCCTTTAAAGTAAATATAAATAAAAGTTTTATGAGTTTCTTGATGGCTTTGGTTTAATGCAAATGGCTATTGTAATCTTGTCCTTCTGAATGCTTAAAAGGAATGAAAGCCTTATCGAATGTCTGAAAAAAATGCTTTAGTTTCTTCATTTTTTCTGCTTATATCGTGTTAGAAAAAGCGCTGAAAAACTTGGCGACCTTGAGATTGAAAATACCGACAACATCCTTTAGCAGAGAAATAAGGATGAGAATAGAGAGAGGCTATACCCTTGAAACAAAAGCGAAGGTCGATCAACCTCTTACTCTCATTAGATAACTTTTTTCGTCGGAAAACTGTCTGGTATCTCCTCATATCACACAGTACATCATTTGAAATGGAAGAGAAAAAACAAAAAGTTGTTGAAACTGTTTGGCATTGGCAACTGAAAGTAAAAGATCTGTTCAACTGATCTTCCAAATGGCCTTCTGTGAACTTTCTTAGTTAAGAAATACATATAACTGATTTAACCATAATTACATATTAATCACAATAATTAGAATATGATAAAAAACGTTTTTCTTCCAAAAGTATCGGATCGTATTGACTTGATGAATTGGAAGTGAAGAATGCTTGAAAAAACCCGTTTTTCATGCTTCAATCATCGATGTTTCAGTAATTTTTTTAGCTCGTATGTACTAAAAATGAATTTATGAACTAAAAAAATATTTTTTTTAAAACAGAACAATAGGAATCAAATGGCTCTGCTGAAATAAAAGAAAATTTGTAAACTTTACCAGTTTAGAGTGTACAATGAGTAGAGGTGGTTGTTTGAGAACAAGATTTTGAAGAAAACAATGTTGATGAAATCATCTTTCATTTAAGAAATAGAAGTTTTTGAAACAAAATTTTATATATTGTAAGTACAGAAGGAGGACATCGATTTATGCGAGATAATAGGAACTAATTGCAATAATCAGTATAATTACTTATTTTCATAAACTTCTCGAAGTTGAATGAGCTATTTCGTTTTTTGAAATCAATTTCATTACTTTGCCTTCAGTAGCCTTGGGGTAAAATTCATTAGCCAAATTTTCAAGGCAAAGTGAGTGATACCTAAGTACGTGTTTCTACCCTGTTTATGTCCTTCCTTGTCTGTCAGCTGTGTCTATTTTCATTCTCTCTTCCTTCCACCTGTCTCTGACACTCTAAGTTCTCAGCACTCTCTCCATTCTATCGCCCTTGTTAATCCAGCCACTGAAGGGCGGGTCCTCCCATCACATTGTGCGACTATATAAGTGCCGTCTGTCGTTCGAATAGCAAGCAGCAATGTTCGAGGAAAAGCTTATCGTTGGCATCGCATCCGCCTGTTCTACTTTGGCCATCGTCGCCTGCCTTGTAGTCATCCCAAGCCTCTACAACACCATCAATGAGGTTCACGATGAAGTTCTCGATGGAGTTTCCGTCTTCCGTGTTGAAACTGACTCTGCCTGGACTGAGATGATGGACATCCAAATCACCGTTACCCCACCATCCAAGCCAAAGCAAAACCCATTCAACTCTATCTTCCGTCAGAAGAGACAGGACTTCTCTGGACTCCCAGCCTGGTGCCAATGTGAGCCAACCAAGCCAACTTGCCCACCAGGACCTCCAGGACCACCAGGAGAGCCAGGACAGCCAGGTAACCAATTGTCTCAATAGAACTATTCGTAATTGAAATGTTTACAGGAAACCCAGGACCACCAGGACCACCAGGAGAGGACAACACCTCTACCTATGCTCCAATCAACTGCCCAGCTCCACCAAGCGACTGCGTCAAGTGCCCAGCCGGACCTGCTGGACCACAAGGACCCGATGGACCAGCTGGACCAGCCGGACCAGACGGACAACCAGGACAACCAGGACAATCTGGACAAGACGGAGCTCCAGGAGCCCCAGGACCAGTCGGAGATGCTGGAACCCCAGGAAACCCAGGACAAGACGGAGCTCCAGGAGCCCCAGGACAAGACGGACAACGTGGAAAGGGAGCCCCAGGACCACAAGGACCATCTGGACCAGCTGGACCAGCCGGAAACCCAGGAGCCTCAGGAGCCCCAGGACAAGACGGAGCTCCAGGACCACAAGGACCAGCCGGACAAGACGGAAACCCAGGACAATCTGGATCAGACGGACAACCAGGACAACCAGGAGGACCAGGACTTCCAGGAAACGACGCCGCTTACTGTCCATGCCCACCTCGCTCTGCTGTCTTCGTCTCCAGATTCGCTCACTAAGTTGGTGGCCCATACGCTGCTACTGCTCAGCTCATTTGTTTTTAAAAGCAAATCATTCTGTAACATTGAGCATCACGAATAAACAGCTTACTTTTCTATGATTTTTTTATTATGTACACTTGCAACTGTAATAGAACAGAGAAACTTTCGCAATTGAAAAACGTGCTTTCACATCAAATATTCCGATTTATCTTAGCTTTCGATAAGATATTAGACATCAAACTACTTCTATCCTCACGCACTTCATTCGGAACAGGATTCTTCGTATCTGGTTAACTTTTTTCAAAGCTGGAATTCCTCAACGTACTTCGCAGACTCTTTTTCTCTCTTATTATTCATTTTACATGACGATGTCATTAACTTCTTCACTATCTAGCCTTCTTTAATAACGACTTATGACGAACCGGTCCTCATAATAGACGTAAAATAATTGCGTAGCCACCTCAAACCTAACAAGCACCTTTGGAAAAAATGCTTGTGAAATAGAAATAGAAAGTGGCTGAAGCTTGGACAGAGGAACAGTTCATTGATTGTAGAAGTGAAATGAACAAGATGATAATTTGCGTGAGATGAGGTAGCCAGTTAGGAAATTAAATGCAAAAGCAAACTTTCAGTGATTATACACTTTTTTTAAAAAAGTATAACATTCATGTCCCCCGAAAACTCTGATTTGACTCGTGGATACGCCATCTTGTTACAAACAAAGTTGAGACAATTCCAATCGGAAAGAACAAAGAGTTTTTCCTAATGCGAAGAAGATAATAACTTCCATTACAATGAGGTCATTCAATGAAGTTTCTGATGAGTCACAGTACACATAGGCCGAACCATTCTTACAGCGTGCTTGAATCTACAGTTCATCAGAGAAAAATGTTATGATCAGCTGTTTTATATAATTCTAAAAGTCAAAATAACTATATCTTGTGCAACAAAATGCATAACGCATGTAACACCGGAGAGATGGCGTTCCAATTTGCACAAGAACATCTTGAACCGTCCACGTTGTTCTACACATGCTAAACATTAGTCAAACGCGCCATTAGTTCTACTCTATCGTTTAACAGTATGGCTACAACCATGAATAAGTGATATGGAGAAAACATTTATAGTCTAGTTAAGCTTTCCAGCCTCCAAGCCCTCACGAAAACTCCAAAAGGTAATATTTGCCAAATCATTTCTGAACATTGATGAAGAAAGAAAAAAAAGTTTTCTAATTCGTATATACAACACCGCAGAGGAAGGTGAAACCGACAAGCTTTTTTTCAAAAGAAATAATCGTTTGTACTTGCTTTAGCATTTGAGACTTGTTGAAAAAAAATTCTGAGAAAATGATTAATGGTCGTGAATAATTTACTTGAAAACCAACCGAATAAGCGCCGAATCCGTTATAGAGACGAAG